CTCTCTCTCTCTCTCTCTGAGGCCTATCTAATTTTCACCTTTCTCCATCCACTGTCTGATAGGTACCCTTCAGACGTGGTCCTGGGCTCTCTCACATACTCTTCCTTTTCTTTCTCTTCTCTCCCTATTCAGGAGTTCCTCCAATCTTAAGATCTGAACCACTCCCTGTTATAAAATAAGCTCCCCAGTTCTCATCCCAGATGCCTATTTCTAATAGTGCTTGCTAGATAGACATCTCCACCCAAAGTCCCAACACCCCTTCAAACCCAACACACACACCAATGCCCTCATCTTCTTTCCCCTAAGACAGGTCTCCTTCCCAATGCTCTCCACTCCTGTCCATGGCAGCATCCTTTATCTGCTCTAGAGCCAAAGTGAGCCAACCAGGATGCAGCTTCATCCTCTATAGGCAATGAAAACCACAATGTGATGGAAGTGATGATACTCAGTTCTAAGCTTACGCCTCTTGAGAGAGAGCACAGCCCCCACCCTCACCCCCTGAATGCAGGAAAAAGCCCAGGCTAGCCTACTGGAAGATAAAAGACCACACCGAACAGGGATGAGCCATTCATTCTAGCGGAGGCCCCCTGCCAGGCAGCCAGGCAGCCAACTGTCAGACACATGTCAGAGGCCATCCTAACCAACCAACCCACAGAACCGTGAGAATTATAAATCACCACTAAGTTTTGGAGCAGTCTGCCTTTAACAAAGGCTAAAAGATGTAAGGGATTAGGTGGAATTCTAGGAAAGGAATGAGACTGCTCCCTTCAACCTCACTTCCTCTTCCCTGTTGAGGAAACAATGAAAACAAGAACCTGCATCCATGAAACATGAGCAAGATGCTATTAAAAAGTGCTCTTGGAAATTATAAATATACACAAAATCTTAAAACTCAGAAAAATCCTGGGATACAAAGCCAAAGAAATCTTCCAGAAGGCAGAACAAAGACAGAGATAAACAATAGGATATATAAGGGCTCCCTCCATCTCAAAAAAAAAGGATCAATTTAAGAGATCCAATATCTGACTAACAGTTCCACAGTTGTTTTTAAAAATGAAAGAGAAAATGGTCAGAGAAACAAATCAGAAGAAAATTTCCCCAAACTGAAGACCATGAGTTCACACAGCCAAAAACCCAAGAAAGCACACTGCACAATGAATGGGGGTGGAGGGGAAGACCCGGGTCACAGTGAAACTTCAGAACGCTGGGGATGAAGAGAAAATCTTAAAACATTTAGGGGATGGGAGGGGAGAACAAAGGGACAGCAATAAAATGTTGACTTCTCAACAGTGACTCAGGAGACCAGAGACAGTGAAGAAATAAATGCCTTCAAAACCCTAAGGGGAAAGTATTTATAACTTGGAAGACTCTACCCGGCCCAACAGCAATCAAGTGTGAAGACAGAATCAAGATCTTTCAATCAGACTTTCAAAGTCTGAAAATACCTATTCCTAGGCTTCCTTTCTCAGAAAGCTCCTGGGGATGTTCCTTAACAAACTGAGGAAATAAACCAAGAAAAAAAGAAAACATGAGATCTAGGAAACAGAAGATAAAGAACAGAAAAGTAAGTAGAGAATTCCTAGAAGGGCAGCCATGTAGTATGGCAGATATGAGTGCAGCCGGACAGACAGGGGCAGGAAGATGAAAGGCTCCGTGAAGGGAATTTAATTTCTACAAAAAGAAGTTCATTAAACGGGTAACAGGTATGTGCAAATGCTTCTGAAAGCTTTGTGGGAGCTGCTGGAGAGTGGGAACAATCAGCCAATGTTTCCAAAAAGATTAAGCAAAGGAAATTGTGAAACATTAACTATAATAACAAAAGATGTCCTAGAATATACTGTACTCTATGATAGGAAATACACCTGTACTTCTTGCTCTACACTAGATACTTACATAATCATAGCAATAAAAACATTAAGGATTTTCACCAAGAATTGTGATATATTATCCTGAGAGAAAGGGGAAGATTTAAGAAAGCAGTCATCCACCTTAAACATAAGTCAATAGACAATATCTAAAATTGGACATGAAGATAGCAGTTTTAAAATCATGATGGTGGAATGCCTGGGTGGCTCAATCGGTTAAGCATCTGCCTTCAGCTCAGGTCATGATCTCAGGGTCCTAGGATTGAGCCCCGTGTGGGGCTCCTTGCTCAGTGGGGAGCCTGCTTCTCCCTCTCCCTCTGCCTGCCGCTCCCCCTTGTTCTCTCTCTCTGACAAATAAATAAAATCTTTAAAATAAATAAAACAAAACAAAATAAAATAAATCAGTTATAATTGAAAAATGCTGTCTCTGGGAACTGAGACAGCAGGGGGTGTAGGAAGAAGACAGGTGGGGATATATCATCTCTACCACAGGCTTTTTTAGCACACTTTTAAAGTTACAAACATGTTACACCTCATGTATCTCACCTTTATATAAATTCAGTAATTTTACATGAACTGACAGATTGCTCATTTATCCTGACCAACCCCCATCATTCAAGTTCTGGCTGAAATAGCCCTACATCCTTGAATGTCATCCCCAGCACTAAGCTCCCCCTGCCTTCAACACCGGGGTGATGCCTCAGCTTCCAATAATCCACTTTCCTTTTGCTGTTATTAAGAAAGCCTTATCTTCCATAAACTTCAAGATTAATTCAGCTAATCTAAAAACATGTTGGCCCTCTCTGCCCCCACCCTTTCCCTTACTCCCTTATGTTTACAAGGATCAAAGAGAATACACAGCGTGCTGGGCACATTAACACAGGTTTCAAAGGCAACTGTTTTACACCAAGTGACATAATTATGCAATTCCTACTCTAAATTCCCTCCCAATTATGGAAAACTATACCCAAGGAATCCTCCCTTCAAATTACAGAACAAAAACATAAAAAGACCCACCCGGACAACTGTATTTGATACAGTGACATCAGAGTAAAGAAAAAAAAAACCACCACCACCTCCACCACCTCGGTGGGCAAAGCTGAGATATTCCAACACTGCCTGGCACCTAACTAGAACAAAAAGCACCATCCATTAAAATTAAGCCAGAAGGGAGCAATCCCATCTCGCTTCTCAGCTTTTAACAAACAGAAAGCAGGCAAGGTGAATGACCACCTGTACCTTGAAGATGACATGGAACATCATATTCGATCTCGTCGTGTCTCGACGGGCTTAAGAACAGAGTTCCGTCCACCAGAGGGAACTGTTCGAACACCGGGAGCGCCCGGTGACACAGGGCACAGTTTACAACATTCCTGTGGCTGGCACTGAGGGCCGCAAGAATGAACTTGCGCAGATCCTCGCCCTGGCCCATCTGGGCATCGTCCTCCATCCGCACGTGGAAAGTGTTCAACTTATGCCTGGGGATGTGAGTGAGCAGCTCGGACAGGTCGAGGCGCCGCAGGAACTGCACGGGCGCATCGAAGTGGCCCCCCCTGTGCCCCGATAACCCAGCCGGACTGTACTCAAAGTGGGTATTCCGGAACACGTGGCCTCCGGCCATGGCCTTTTTGTGAGGCTCCAAATGGATGGCATTCTTCAGGAATTCCCCGAGGTATCTGGAGGAGCGGGGGCCGCTGAAGTGGGCGGGGGAGAGGATGGAATAGCCGGTGGGCGGGGACTGGCCCGGGGAGGCGCAGGGGGAGCGGGCCCCGTAGGCCGCCGCCGCCGCCGCGCCCACTGCCTTCTCCTGGGAGTTCTGCCGGTCCATGGAGTGCCGCCGCGGGGGGTCATGGCTCAGGCCTTTCTGCGGCTTGCTGGGTGGCCGGCCCTTTTTGGCCTCCTCCCCCGCTTCACCAGGGGGCCTGCCGGTGTTCTTCTCTGAGCCAGACTTCTTCTTTTTTTCGTCCTGCATCCGCTTCACCTGGTACCAGTCCGTGTCCTTCTTTAAGTGGCCCTGTCCACAGCGGCAGGAGCAGAAGCGGAAGGCCAGGTCGTAGCCCTTCTTCGTCCACATGTTTTGGCGGCACTGCTTCTCGTTCCAGCTGCGGGCACGGCCGATGCAGTTAAACTGGACCAGGATGCTGCTCTCCCACTCGTAGAAGCACTGCAGGTGCATCCAGGTGCTGCAGGGGCAGTGCTCATTGTTGCACACCACCTTCTGGTAGTCGTCCTTGTCTAGGTCCACCGGCCTCCCGAAACTGCAGAGCAGGGGCGTGGCACAAGGGGCCTCTGGGGAGGAACACAAAGAGAGGGGTTCAGCATGCGGGAGCTGGGATTCCTGCCGGCGCCCCATCAGGGATCAAAGCCACCACCCCCCCCCCCCCCCCCCACCCCCTCAATGCCAACAGGACAATTTTCTCGTGTCAAGATTTCCACCGCTGGAATAACACCAGACAGGATTAAAAAACATTTACTACTTTCTTCTGGTACTATGTGGTGCCAAGGGAATTTATTTTCAGATATTTGTTATCTGCTGAAAAACACACCAGTAAGCTTCAGAAAGTCCAAATCCTTCACAGTGCAATTAGCAGTATGTCAGTACTTACAACAGTAGAGTGTAGTATGAGGTTTTCCTAAGATGTGGGGGTAATGACAGGCAGTTCCAAGGTTCTTTAAAAAGGAATCACTCCAGTGAACTAGGAAATATTACGATGAAACCACTTAACCCACCAGCTCCAAAAGGACCCTCAAAGCCCTTTATCACAAGTGTTAGGTTATCCTGAATACCACAGAGAAGGTAGAAAACAGAATTACCTCATCCTCAATTCTCTTCTAGAATGGTCTGATACCTACTGGCAGGAATATCTGGTCAAACTAATTGTTGGTCTACACAGAATTACACTGCCAGGCTATGAAGGAAAAAACCAGAATTCTCCTAAAGCTATCAGGACAGAAACTAGAACACCAAGATATTTCTACCCTATTTAACCACATGCCCCACAGGACATCTAAAAGGCCAATCAGTTTCCCCCAAAGAAGGGAAAAATTGGTGACACAAAGTAGAACCCATCTCTTAAGAAGTAAACAGGATTTACAGAGATTCCACGGGATTCCGGTTACTCCAACATCCGTAACATTTTCAAAAGGCCCTTTTGGAGAGCAGTAATACTCCTAGTTGGGAACCACTGGACTTGATCCAGAAAGTTCCACATGCTAGCTCAATTCAGACTTTACCTTCTGTTGTAGCTGAGAACCCTCAGCCGGAGTTCTGTTTTAGAAAGCTCACCCTGGTGGCAGTGTGGGACATGAGGGCTGCGGGATTCAGGAGGGCGGGTGGGGGCAGTAACCCAGCTGAGAAATGAGTGCCTAAGCAACAGCAGCAGCAGAGTAAAAGGCACTCACTGTTGGAGGTAAGCAAACACTGATGGACAGCAAACATGGGAGGGGCAGGTCTGGACAAATGGACAAAGATGACTTTGGGCTGGCCTTATTTTGGACCTGCTGAATCGACAATGCCTATGTACCAATGAGGTGGAGAAAGACAAGACTGGAGTAAAAAAGACCTGGAGCCTGAATACAGATGTGCAGCCGCACAGCCAGAGGTGGAAGGAAGTTAAATCCCTGGACTGAGGAGCTAGCCCAAGAGGCATGTGAGAGGAGGAAAAGAATCCTGAGAAGCAACATTAAAAGGCTGGAGAAGAGTCCTCTACAGAAGACGGTTAAGAAATGAACTGATAATTCACTGCAAGACTAGTCAGGAGAGAATTCTATCAAGGCAGCTGGAAAGTTTTAAGAAGAGAGGACTGACTCAGAACAACTGTGACACCTAAAAATGTCTCCAGACACTGCCAGCTATCCCGAGGGGAGAGGGAGCAAAACTGCCCCTGGTCGGAAACTACTGGGCAAGTCAGAGACTGAAAAGTCCTCACCAGAATGATCAGTGAGCCAGTGACACCTTAGTAGGAACAGTTCTGGTGGGATGACACAGGACAGATCGGAGGTGATGGTGAAGAGAGGATGAGGAAGTCAAGAAGTAGAAGCAGTTCAGATGATCTTCCAGAAAACTCTTCCCAGAAGTACAAGGAAGGGAAGGAAAAACAATGGGAAGAGGCAAGGGCTGAGACCTACACGTTCACCTACTCGGGGAATGTATGCCAAAAATTTAGGCCAGCCTGAAGAGGAGGAGGCAACAAGCTCCTCTTCAGGACTCCAGGACTCAAGGACCTTCACAACCTCACCACTGCCCACTGAGTCACAAATACAACATTGCACCAGCACAGGTGATAGGACCTATAAAGCCCAGGACACTCGGATGTTACAATCATCCCTTGCAGTGTGGGACTCCAGGGTATCAATCACAAGGCCCTAACCAACTTGTCTGCTTCCGCTCCTCTGATCACTGCAGCTCCCCCATCTACTGCCTCGCAGTCCACAGCCCTTAATCTTCATTTGTCCAAATCCCACTCGCCTCACAGCATGGACTCTCCACCAGCCTGCCTGAGCTAGAATCCTGGCAGTACCACTGTTGAGCTGTGTGCCCTTGGACAAGTTACTTTTTATCTCCAATTCCCATACAGAATGCAGATAACAACTGAATGTACTTTATATGGCTGTTATAAGAAAATTCTGATACATAGGTGGTGCTTAGAGCAGGGCCTGGCATCTCATAAACCTTCTCCCCTTCTTCCCATCCTTCGAGGCCCACCTCTAGACACTGATTTCACCAGAACCACCCCTTCCCCAACACGGTCTGGTCTGAACCTTACTTGAGTCCCCACTGTGATCCCACCAGGTTGAGGACTCCAAAGAGGATGCCTTAGTCATCTTTGTGTTCCTGGCACCACCAGGCCTAGGCCTGACACACATCCCATGCTGAATAAAGTTGCCTTAAAACAGGGCCACAAAACCCCACGTGACCAGCAGAGCAGAAGGAAGAAAGCGAGCTGAAATCCTAGACAGAAAGAGCTACATGTACTGAAGTGCACCAAAAAGAAGTAGAAAAATGGTCTGTAAACTGAGTAAATTAACTGCAGTCACCTGGGCTGTGACCTTTAGTGTCCTTTAAAATGTTAATTAGTCAATTAAACAAAGTTCAGTTGCTTTTATCTTCAATCCTTCAGAGAAACAGCCTTGGAGGGAAGGTCTCTGAAATGTAGTGACAGTAACCGAAGTGCTAATAACCCAGGACTCGTGAAATCAAACTGAAGAATGGCCTAACTCTACCTGTGCATTTACGACATCCAAAATTTAAAGTTTTAAACGCTGAGACTGGCTTGATATTTCTTTTTAAAGTATTTTCACATTCAAGAAGGTAGATTAAGAGGGGGAAAGTCCTATTTATATCTTTCTCAAAAAGCTGCAAATGGATCATTTAACCAATACTGAGAACGTCCTATGTACCAGGACTTCAGAGCGGGAAGAATCAGCAAATGGTGCTAAGAGCTCCCGCAGAAATCTCTGCGGGAATCACAGAGGAGGCAGTGTGGCTCCAGGTCCCTCTCCCTAACATCGCCCAGCCTCCCCACAGCCACCCTCACCTGCCTTCTGCCCTCCACGGCTCGGCAATGAAGAGCTCCCACGCCAACCTGCCAGCCTGCTTGTTTACATCTCAGCCACTCTGATGTGGTCTCTGTGGCTAGGCCTCAAAAACAAAGACAAGGGCTTGAGACCAAATATTATGTGCAACCGACACTTCACCCTGTTACACACCTCCAGCACAACGGCGAGGCTCCAAGGAACAGGGGCAGTAGCAAGGGAAGCCTTGGGTACCACACGACGGCTTCTGACAGGCTTTTACAGCTCATGCAGCCTTCCGATGAGGCTACGGTGGGCTGGCCTCTGTACTCAGACAGGATAGCCTTCAAGGCTTGGTTAGAACTTGTCCTCTCCCCCCACCCACTGTCCACACTGGGAAGGCAGCTGGGAATAGTGCGAGTGGGGTTTGGGAGACTAGCTGTTTGACATGGAGCAGCTTCCTGCTTCCTCAACTGTAATGTGAGGACAAAAATGCTTGACCTCATTCACAGCAAATATATGTGGAAGCGCTCTATAAAGTTCCCCAACAACTCTCCCATGCTACCTACCTCTTCTATAACTTGATACTTGTGTATCTGGCTCCCTAAATCTAGCTCCCTAAAAAAAAAAAAAAACTAAATACAAACTGCTGCAAGAGATTTCCTATTTTTTCTAATGTTTTGGACCCACAAAAGGGGTTCAGAAAGTGACGAATGAGGCCATGCCTCTTTTTCCAATTTCCTGTCTTACAGTTAACTAAAACATACAGGAAAAGATTTTAGAACTCTAAGAAACTGCATGAGTGCCCTTCAGATCATACCTATAACAAATGAGCAGTCTAATTTTTTTAAAAGATGTTATTTATTTATTTGAGGCGGGGGCACAAGCAGGCGGGAGGAGGCAGAGGGAGAGCGAGAAGCAGACTCCCCCTGAGCAGGGAGCCCAACACCAGGCTCAATCCCAGGACCCTGAGATCATGACCCGAGCCAAAGGGATTTGCTTACCTGAGCCACCCAGGCGCCCCACAAATGAGCAATCTTATAGAAATGCATTTGACTGCTTCCTGAACGTGGTCTCTAAATTTATAAAATTCCTAGCTCTTAAGAATTGCAGTCCCACAAAGGTAAAGGTATAAACAGAATACAGACTGACCCGATACAACAAAACTGTTGGTGAGATGCAGGGAGAAGGAATGGCACAGTCAGTGAGGGCCTGTGTCCCATACATCCCTTAGGACATGCATCAGAGCTGTGATAGTTGACTAACAAGCAATATGAGAAAATGTTCCTTTGTGCGTTTGTACACACGTATATAAACCCTCCAGTGCGTTTTTACAGCTTCATCGTCAGATACGCAGGACTCAGCTTCTGTTTCTCCCTGCCCAAGTGAAAATAATTAGGGATCACCTCATTCCGGGCAAAATCTCACGTGGTTTCAAGTCTGGACAATAAGATAGCTAGGCTGACATCACTTGGGCAAAGTCTGTCACTCTTCCCAGCCCTCGCATCCCGTATCCTGCCTCCCACACCTATTAAAAGGGAAGGATCGGACAGCAGATCTGACATTTACACCGGCTACCCAATAAACCCCAATCCTCTGACACACCCATTCACACTAACAGGAGCCCCATAAACCAGACAGACGTTGCCACTGTCAGCTTTTTAACTGTAAAATGTAATGTTTTCATCCCTCTTAAAATAGTTGCAAGCATCACAAGCAGGTGGGGAGTTCAGCGGGATGGATGGGAAAGGAGGGTCTTCTGAAGTCATACAAGG